TTATGCTCGCTAATCGATTTCCGTCGCCGTCGCCGTTGCTTTTTGTTCAGACTGCAGACTTTATTCTGCACTTCTGGCAACTCAAACAAAAAGCAAAGGAAAAGTCAAAGCTCTTTTTACTTTCTCTCTTTTTTCCTTTTGAAACTGAAGCATTTTAAGATTTAGAGAGCATTTTGAGCCAGAGGACCAGAAGAAGAAGAAGAAGATGGCTTCACTGTATTGATTTTTCGCTTGCCCCCGTCTTTTTCTGGGAAATCCTTTTACATTTTTGTTCCACTCAACTCTGCAAATACATTACTCACTAGGAAAATTTTCTCCTGAAAGAAAAAGAAAGATTGCGCACCTTTCACTTTCACTTTCATTTTCGTGTTGTCCCCCTGCCCTGTTCACTACTCTTTGCTATCTTAATTGAAAGTGCATCAACTCAGAAGTGCATTTGCAGTAGTGCACACAAATTGGTCCTCGCTTGCATAAGTAAAAGTGCACTGCATCACAAATTTGCATACAAAGACGAAAACAGCAGCAGCAGCATCCTCTTATCTCGACAACTGATCAACTGACTGTCGATGATGATCATCACCATCACCATTTTACCCTTACTAAAAAGATAATAAATAAGGGGAGTTCCATGTTAGCATCAGCAGCACACCATTATCATCAACATCAATGTCGTCGTCGTAATTTGTCCTCACACTGTTTTGCACTCGATGCTATCAGAAAATTGTGTTCAGCAGCATTCATTGCACCATTCAAAGGAAGAAGATTGGCCAATCGGTTAATGCACATCTTTTTTCTTCTTCTTTGTGGCATTGCCAATTGCCAGTGAGTTAATGCAACGGCAGCAGCAGCAGCAGCAGCTCATCAAACAGCAATCTTTGTTCAATTAGAGCTGTTGGGTGGCCAAAAGGAAAAACTGCAGCTTGTTTGCTCTTCTCGTTCAGGAAGGTGCCAAGCTGAGGAAATGCTACTCTTCTTTTTCCCGTTTTGGTGGTCTTTGTTTACTTGCCAAGAGAAGGAGGAAACCGATGTGCAATATTGACACAGAAGCAGCAGCACACTGGCACACTTTCTCGTTCTCTTTCAGTGTTTGATTGAGTCGCTCAGCTTCCGCTGACCAGTCACTCAGATTGGATTGAGAAAATAAGAAAAAATCGGAAAACTGCACATTGCAACAGAAACTGTCAAGAAGAGCTGTCCAATCGGTTTTGAAAAAAACTCGATTGTCAAACTCACTCCATTGGCACTCAGATTTTCACTGGCGATCTTTTTCTTCTGCATCGCATCACACACACATAGTGTTCCAAATTTTCAACTGTACAAAACAACGTTTGCAACAGCAACAGCTGCAACATGAAATGTTAATTACCTAGACTGAAAAAAGGAAAAGAGAAGAAAAGCGGGCAAACATTCTGGGGTGAAAGTATTGCCTTGTCATTCCAGCTCCTGTTTTTGCTCCACTGCAAATACTTTTTGTCGGCTGTCCCTTCGTTTTCTCTCTTTTACTTTGGTATTGTTTGGGCAGCCCTCGACCTACTATTTTACTACTAAACTACCCAAACACACACAAACTGATCGTGAGGTGCTTATTAATTTTTCACTCGCCAAACCAAACCAGCACCAAATGCAGCAGCAGCATTGCACTGCACTAAGAACAAAACAGCTCGTTGTCATTTGTGCCCTTTTCTTTTCTCATTTTCATCATCATTTCATCTACTTTTTAATGCACTTACCACGTCTTCAGCTCAGTGCCTGTCATCTTTGTCATCTTCTTCCTTTGCCGGCACCTTCTTCTTCAAACCACTTTTTTTCACGCACATTTTTTGCTGCTGCCAGTTTTTGCTGTCAGTTTTCTTGCGACACCTCTCTCGTACACAAAATATTTAGCATTTGGCACATGACATACACGAACTTGTCATCGTAGTCATGCAAAACAGCAACAACCGAACAAAATTGTCAAAAGTTATTTTCCGTTTTTGTGCTGAAGAAGAAAAAGAGGGGGCAAAATAGTTTCCCATTTCCGTCAAACAGCACAATTTTGAAACTATGTTTCAACTTCTCTTTCATTCACCTTAATTGAACTGCTCTTCTCTCTTCCTGACATCGTTCAAATTAATTTTTAAACGGAACATTTATTCTCTCTCTCTCTCTCTTTCTCTCTCTCTCTCTCTCTTTAACCTTAATTAAAGAGAAGGCACACTGCAACAAAACAGCAAAGAGGAGGACTGAATAGTCGTTGGACAACTTTTTCTGCTGCTACTGCCACAAAACACTGTTGTCACTGTTGGCAACTAACTGAAAGAAGGGACAAAAAAACAGCAAAAGAAAAAGAAAGAGTTGCGACTAACTAAGAAAAGTGCCCACCACGAAGACGACGACCACTTCCACATCAAAGCAAACAGACAGACCAGACCATTCATTTAATCCAATAATGTTAATGCACATTTAATGGATGTGAAAGCACAAAGTTCATGACGGACTGAGCAACGGCAGAAGAAAAAGGAGAAAAAAAGAGGAAGAAGATATACAACCAAATTAATTCAAACCGATTCAGACTGCTTCCGTCTCTGCAGTTCAGCATCGTAAAGCAATAAAAAAGCAAATTAGTGAAAAGAAACAAAAACAGATAAAGAATTCAGTGTTTCTCATTTTTGTGCTGCTGGTGCTGATGAACATTACAAAAAGACAGAACTCAAACTGATTATCATTGCAAAATTCATTCGTCCAATTTTTTCCTCAACTGATCGATATTTTGTTTCTTGTCCTGTTTTTTGTCACTGCTCTAAATTCCAATTTTAACTTTGATTTTTCCGCTCTCTTCTGATCATCATCAGAATCAGCATCTTGTCCTGCATTTTGTCTTAATCACCAGCAGCAACTTTTTGTGCAATCGAATATCGATTAGCCCTCAACTCGTCTTCAACTTCTTTTGCCAGCATTTTACATCTCAACTCTTCAACATTTACAACTTTCAATTTTCTTTTTTCTTCTCATTTGAATCAGTGCGCACAAAAATTCATCATCGTCATCATCATTGATCACTTGCCACATTGCCACTTGACAACTGTCAACTTCTTTTGCTTGCCAATTTTCAACGTTAATTCTTCAACAATTCTTTCAACTCTTCTTTTTCACTGAAATTCTGAACCAAAGCAAAAAATACAAAATCGGAGAGTTCATTCTGACTTTTGCCCAATGAGATAGCACATTTTCAAGCCACAGCACCAGCAACAACAGAAAAACCGATAAATTATTACCCGAGCTTCCGAAAAAACGGCTAAAACAGCGGACAAAAAAGATTTGACTGTCAACGAGGCGCACAAACACACACACACAAACACTGAATCAGACACTAGAATTTTTTTCTACATTCACAATCTCAGTGAACAGAAGAATTTTTTTCTTCTGTACAAACGCTAGAAGCAGGCCGGGACGCACCCGCTCAATTCATTCTTTTCCCTTTTTTCTCTTTTCTTATTCGGCGGCAATAACAGTCGTACAGTGCTTTTCTTTGCTTTTTATTTTTTGATAAGAAAAAGAGACGCCGACAATTGTCAGAGAACTGTCTAGTTCAGTGGAAAGAAAAAAAGAGGACCGACAGACGACAGACTAAACTGAAAAAAGAACGACAGCTAAATTGCTATAAAACTGCTTTGTACTTCCGAGACAGCGAGAAAACGAACGAGAGTGACAGTCGGCACTTGACAAAGGCAGGCATTTCAATCATTAAAGACATTTTTGTCTGGCTCTAGAGCAGCAGCACTTTGAATCCTTCTTTTTAGTCTAAAAATCTAAAAAACGGGTGGTTTTTTCTGTGAATGAGCTAAGCCAAACTTTCAGATTTTGAATAGAATGAAGAAAGTGACACGCTGAACAAATCAATCACTAAAATTACTGAAAGTGAACAAGTCAAATTTTAAATGTGTTATAACCGCAATTTTTATTGAGGTCAGTCGTTGATGATCGATGATGATCCAATGGTGAAGCCAGTTTATTATACAGCTTGATTTTTGTTGGTAAAAAATCTCATTACTTTTTGCTCTCATTTTTGAAATTCCAATTGAAAAATAATCGATAAAGCCATTGTTGTTTTTGCTGTGTGAGTGTGTCCATTCTGTGTCCATTTAAAAGCTGCTGCCTTACCAAAAGTTCATTCGTAATTAATTCGTATCCTTTTAGCACACACACACCTGTCTAATCTAGTTAATTGCAGCACTGTCACTTTTACTCTTCTTTTGACAAGTTTGTGACCCACCACTTTTTTGCTTAACTTTTACACACTTTGTTGCCAAAAAACCTCCTTTTCCCTTTTTTTAAATGTGATATTTTTTGCTCTTTTTTTTGATACACAAATTGAAGCGGACTACTTTTTCATTTTGTCGTTATCGTTCTTGCCAATGTTCCAATCCTTCTTGCCATTTTAACATTTTTTTGCTAACAAAACAGCAAAAAGTTTTTTGAAGTGGCACTTTTCTCAGATTTTTTATTTCACAGTGAGACAAGTTTTAAACTTTCAATTTACTATTTTCGATGTACTCCAAATTTTGAGTGTGAAAGAAAGAGATTTTGAGTGCTTGTCCTTGCTTAAAAAATTAATTAAAAAAAAGTTTTAGAAAAATTTAAAAACACTTGAAACACAGTAGCAACAACTTCTCAGTACACCACATTTCATATCACAAAAAAATTCTCAGCTACAAAAAATACTCAGAAACTCCAGAGATTTCCAACCTATTTTAACCCAAACACAAACAACCGAAAAACAGCCAAAAACACACCCACCTAAAAAACGCCTCAAAGAAAGTTGATCCAAATGAAAGTGCGCACTAAACTCTCACTTGAGCCGCAATTGAGCTGTTGTTGCCTCTGTTGCACAACGTTTGTGAACAACAGTCCAACACCAAAACAAACACCACCAAAACAAACACCAACACCACAATGTCGCCCCTCCTCCTTCTCTTCTTCATCGTCATTGGCATTCTCCTCTTCTTTGTCTGTCTCTGCAGGTCCATTCCGAAGGTTAGCCAGGACGAGGGCTTTGGAGGCGTGGAAGGCGGCGGCTTCGGCGATGGCCACTGCGCCATCCGGCTGGGCAACGCCGAGGACAATGAGCTGCTGGCGGGGCCGCACACTGACGTGCTGCTCAGCGGCCCGGGCAGTCGCTTTGAGCCGCTCGTCCACCGGCACGACCTCTGTGAACGCGTCACCATCAACATCAGCGGCCTGGTCTTTGAGACGCAGCTGCGGACGTTGCACCAGTTCCCCAACACGCTGCTCGGCGATCCGGCGAAGAGAATACGGTAAGTTTTCTTGATTTTTTATTTATATAGAATATTCTGTTGTAGAATTATGTAAATAAGAAGTAGAGGGAAAGGAAAAAAATTAGCAGTCACAGTGGAAGCAAATTGTGATGCGGATTTTTTCTATTTTTTAATCGTCGTTGTTGTCAGTGGCAATTTGATTATGATTATTTTCTTCTGTACTGTTATTCAGTCGATCAATCTTCATTTAGTGGCAGTTGCAGATTACTTCCTCTCTTTCAAATAGAATCTTCTTGAAAAAAAGATGAGGAGAAAATGAATTAGAATAATGGGGGGTAAAACGATCTGGTCCCAGTGATCTCATCTTTCAACCGTTGGGCTTATTTACTGAAAGGCAGTCAATCAGTCTTCTTCTTTTTTCCTCTCGGTCATTTGCCTAATAGCTCCTTTGATCTTACCATCCAGGGCTGATGCTGATGATGATGATGATGAAAAGGCTATTTTTTGCCCAATCATTTTATTTAGACGTTAGATAACATAAAAGCAAAATTTTTTTAGCAAAATCAGTTTAAACTTGAACTTTAGTGGAGTGCAATAATTAAAATGTACCAAATTAAAAATAGTAATGTTTCCGCATTGTGATGGCAATTAATTAATTGCAAATAGACAAATTAATCGGAAAAGAGCCATTGGCTGGCTTGTTTTTATTATATTCTGTCATTACCTACTTATTTTCTAGGCATTCTTTTGGGGGCCTCCAGAGCATTGACTGCGTGCACAGTAATTTTAATTAATTAAAGGGGAAAAGAACAGCAGAATATCTGCCGAGCAGTGACGGGGAAAAGAGAAGGGGACAAACAGAAAAAAGTGCAGGAACGCACATTAAAAATGCAGCATGCATAATTTGACCAAGAATATTCCTCTTCCTCTTCTTTTTGGTCGCATATTTAATATGCCAAAACAGAAAAAGCAGCAGTCGCTCAAGCGTAATGTGACCGGTGATTAATCGAAGTCTGAAGTGGAAAGAGCTGCTGCTGCTGCTGCCGGAAAGTCTGAACAGCGACCAGTGACCAATACTTTTTTGCTTTTGCTTTCTTTAGAGCACATTCTATTTCTTCTTCCTCTTTTTGCTTTTCTTTAGTTGACCCCGGCACATGCAAATAAATGGAGTGCATTTGTTGTTTGTTTGCTCCAGTGAGCACATTTTTCTCCTTTTTGTGAGCGTCAACTCACTGACCCAGTGATTTTGTTGGTGATGTTCATTGCCGATGACAGTTTGCACTTTTTTATTTTTAAAAAGCAGATTTTTGTTTGTTTTATTTTTTGACAACTGAAGTAGATCATTGTGGTGCTAAAGATTTGCTTGAAAATGCCGTCGACAACTGATGAGAATAACTTTTTTTGGCAGAAGAGTAAATTAGGCTTCTGTTGTTGTTGTTGTTGTTTACTTTACTTTGCTTGACCAAATGAAGAGGAAATAGATCTTTGGTGCATTTTTGGTCAAGCATCATTGACCTAATAGTGGTACTTGTATTTAGGCTCCTTTTCACATTCAATTTAATTTGCCAGAAACAAGTTTTGCTGCTGTTGTTGTTAAAGTTGAATCTGCTGCAGCTTCATTTACTTATCATATTCAGTTTTTTCGTCGTTGAATCTGGCATCATTATTTTTTCTGCGTCAATGCTCATGTTTTGATGTTGTTGAAATTGAAATGGGAGTGTTCTATTTTTGCATTTGCTGTCAACAAGAAAAATTGCTTATTTTGGCATCATCCTCTGTCAATGTTGTTTTGTTAGTTGAATTAATTTGAAGCCCCAATTTATTTCAATTTATCGCGCATATTGGGCCAGAATAATAGGAAAAGAAGAAAAAACAATCTGCCAAATTGAGAAAAACAATTACTCTGTGTATTGGGAATATTTTTTCTCTCAATTTCTCAATTTTCCCCATCCAATTGACCATCCAGCTAATTTAGAAAATGTTTGCAAAGTCAAAATCTGCTTTTCCATCTATTTTATCTATTTTTATCTATTTTACTCCTTATTTCTTCTTATTGACAGTTTTATAAGCTAGCAGACAAAAACACTATTTTGCCGAAAAAACAATAGTCAGCTAATATTGAAAATATATTAGAAAAAGGGAAAAAGAATAGGAAAATTGCAATCGCTGACATTTTTAGGCTGCTAAAGAAGCAGCAGGGGACACAATTTTCACTTTTGTTTTTACCCAAAAGAAAAAAATACGGTAAAAAGTTTCAGTGCAGTGCACCTCAGCAAAATTCTACTTTTATTAGCAGCAGCAGCAACTTGATTTACTGGCATATTGGCAGGAAAAGTAGAATATTCCTCTCTCTCTCTCTCTTTTTCTGCATAAATCTTAAGCCCCTGTTTATTTGGCAGTAGTGACAACTTTGGCTTCTTCTTCCTCCTCTTCTTCTTTTGAAGCTTTTGTCGTTAATTTGCATGTTTCAATGTGAGTGAGTGAGTGCAATAAAATTCTATAGCACACATTGAGCACATTGTTCCAAATGAAATGGATTTTTCAAATGGCTGTACAGTTTGATTTGGCTCTTCAGGTCAGCTGAAAAAATTTGCAAAACTTTGCCATTTAGTTTTTACGGCATTTTTTAATTTAAAAATGTTTTTAAAAGCAGCATTCATTATAAATTGCACCAACGCACAATTTGCGCATAATTAACGCGCAGCAGCAGCAGCAGCATTACAACTGAGCCATTAATCAACGGAGCAGCTCTAATTAGGCAATTTCATGATGCCAGTTTTTTGCTGTTGCTTCTATTTAAACAAAAACAAAATGCTATTAAAGCACACAAACAAAAAATCCACTTGAAAACCCCTTCAAATGATTAGTGTGTTGACTAACTAGTCAGTCAGTCAGGATTGTACAAATTACCAACAACAACAAAAACCGAGCAGTCAGAAGTAGGCTTGTAAATTGCACAAACGGTGCCACACATTAATTAGCTGTGCAAATACTGCTGCTGAAAATCAAATGCAAATCATTGCTACCACCACTAATTAGTAATAGTAGTAGTAATTAGCAAACAACGAGAAAAAACGGTGTTCTCTGTCAACAAAAGAATTTTCTGAAAAGAGATTTCCTGCTCTGAAAATGAGCACAAAATAGGCACAAAATGAGTACACCGTGAAATCTAATGCATCTAACATTTTAGCTTAATCAAACCCTCTATTCTTTTCATCCATTCATTTACTCAGTTATCGGTCAGTACTCAGACACAAAAAAGAATAAAAGATAGCAAACAAAGTTAGCTGAAGCAAAGTGTACTGTACAGGAACGTACGGTTCTAGTACAAAAAATGTATTTTTTTCTTGTATTTGCTTGCTACACTTTTTCTCCTGTCCTACCTGCCAAAAGTTCTGAACCAATTCATCACAACACACGTCAGTTGCCGCTTTTTTGTTGCTGTTGTCAATTTTTTGTGCACGATTAAGCACCGTTGTTTTTTCTTTTTGTGCTTTCAGTGCATCAACATCAACAGCAGCAGCATATGCAAATGTTCACATCGTTCAAACTGCTTTGTGCTGGCATTTTTCCTATAAAAAACATGTTCCAAGTGCAATCTTTTTTCGCTGCTGCTGTTTTGGATTGATTTAAATATGCCAACAAGAGGAGGAAAAAGGTTGCAGCTATTTGCTGAGATAAGATTTTTTTCTTTTTTCGATTACAGTATTTTTTGTTATATTAAAAAATTGACCAAAATTTTACTAGCTGAAACATTTTTTACAAAATACAAAATAAAATCACAAAGTTACAACTTTTCACATTTGCTCAGGCCCTTGTTTGCATACACTGCTCAAAAAATGATTGGGCTGGAAAGTTGGCAAATATTTGCCCACCAAAGAAAGAGAGAGAGAGAGAGAGAGAGAGAGAGAGAGAGAGAGAGAGAGAGATAATAATAAACCTCATTTTAAAATGAAATATAAAAAATCGCAATAAAAATTTGAATAATTTGATTTATGACAATGCACTTGCCAAACACTTGCGCACACATTCATCAAGCTCATTTTAGGTTGTAGGCGTGAGATAACATTAAAAATAGGGCCCACATCTTTTTCAAACCTTTATTTCTGACATGATTAATAATTCACATCCTTTTTTAAACTTTCAGGTACTACGACCCACACACCAACGAGTACTTCTTTGACCGGAACCGGCAGGTCTTTGACGCCATACTTTATTATTACCAATCCGGCGGCCGATTGCGACGTCCAGTGAACGTCCCGCTGGACATCTTCGCCGAGGAGGTAAAATTTTTCGAGCTCGGCGAGGCCGCTTTCAATAAGTTCCGCGAGGACGAGGGCTTTGTGAAGGAGAAGGAAAAGCCCCTCCCTCGAAACGAGTTTAAGCGCAAAATCTGGCTCCTCTTTGAGTACCCGGAGAGCTCTCAGTGGGCCCGCGTCGTCGCCATCATCTCCGTGGTGATCATCATCCTGTCGATACTCATCTTCTGCCTGGAGACGCTGCCCGAGTTTAAGCACTACAAGATCTTCAACATCACCGCAAACCTAAGTCGGGTCGTCGAGGACGAGGTGCCCTCCTTCACCGAGCCGTTCTTCATCATCGAGACGATCTGCATCATCTGGTTCAGCATTGAGATACTGATTCGCTTCTTTGCCTGTCCCTCCAAGGTGGCCTTTCTCAAGGTAAAGAGTTGATAATTTTTTTGATAAGAATATTCTAAAATTTTTTTCTTTTTTACCAACAGGACATCATGAACGCCATCGACTTCTTCGCCATTGTCCCCTACTTTGTGACGCTGGCGACGATGATGGCGGAAAAGCCCGAAGACGACCTCAAATTTCACGCCTTCTCCGTCAGCGGCTCTGATACGAAGTCGAGCAGCTCGCTGGCGGTTCTCCGAGTCATCAGGCTGGTTCGAGTGTTTCGAATCTTCAAGCTGAGCAGACATTCAAAAGGACTGCAAATTCTGGGCATGACCCTTAAAGCTTCGATGAAAGAGCTCGCCCTGCTCATTTTCTTTCTCCTCATCGGCGTGGTCCTTTTTAGCAGCGCCGTTTACTACGCGGAAGCTGATAGTGAGCGGTCAAATTTCAAGTCAATTCCCGACGCCTTCTGGTGGGCCGTGGTGACGATGACCACCGTAGGCTACGGAGATATGAGACCCGTTTGCGTGTGGGGCAAATTTGTCGGCAGCCTTTGCGCCATTGCCGGCGTCCTCACCATCGCACTTCCGGTTCCGGTCATTGTGAGCAACTTCAACTACTTCTACCACCGCGAGACGGATCAGGAAGATTTGCAATCGACTAACATTAATCACGTCAAGAGCTGTCCTTACCTTCCTGGCTACGTGGGCATGAACAGGCTGAGAAGGAGCTCCTACAGTGATTCGAATATTACCAGGAGTGGAACTGGGGGTGATGGAGGTGATGGGGGTGACGGGGGTGACGGGGGTGATGAAGGAGGAGGTGATGGAGGAGGAGCTGCTGATGGAGGAGGTGGTGAAGGCGGCGGAACCGGAAGTGGTGGCAATCCCGAAGAGGAGGACGGTGATGGTAGAAGTCTGCTGAAGACGAAGCGACAGTCGCTGGCGGCGGGAACTTCCGGTTCAGCCCCTCTTCATTCTTCAACACAGAACCTGCTATCTTCAAACAGTGGAAATCAGTACTACAGTCAACTTCCGGCCACCTCATTTCCGCCCAAGCTCGACGCCGTCGAGTACGACCAGTCGTTGATGCAGGCGCCGATGCTGCTGCACCGAAACAGCCTCATGCTCAGGCCGACGCCTGCTGCTGCCCTCGCCTCCGTTTCCGGTTCCGGTCCTGGTGGTGGGCAGGCCAACCTGTACATTAACCCCCTGGATGATCCTCAAAACTGTGGCGTGGGTGGAACGATAAAGCCGTCACCTTCCTCGGAGATGATGCTCAGCAGGGCGGGAAGTGTTAGCTCGAGGAGAAGGAGAAGTTCCACGCGAAGTCCCTCCATCTACTCGCCCACTTCCGTTGATTCACCCACGAAGATGATGCTCAACACCGGAGGATCTTCGACGAACCTCCATTTAAGTGTTGGTGGAGGTGGTAATCCTCAGCAGCAGCAGTCCAGCAGTCCCAGTCCCAGCAGGCACTCTCCTGCAGCCTCAGCCTCATCCACTGCCACCAGTTCCCATCACCCTCATCACCCCCACCACAAATCACCCCCGGCCAGTCCTCCCGGAAGTGGAAAACGTCACCCTCATCCCTCTTCAAACGCCCCCAACAGCAATGCCTCCTTCAAGGGAAAGAGCTCTCCAAATAGGACGGGCGGCGGCGGCGGCGGCAATGCAATGCGCGCCAAGCACACCATGATCAACCTCGTTGGGCTGATGTTCAACGTCTTTCTCTAGAACCGGTTTTTCCCCCTCTTTTTAGAATCCCCTTCCCAATGATTTCCACCCCCTCCTCCCATCATTTTTCATCACCCTCACAAACCGCCATCAGCCCATCCATTTAGAACCCATCCACCCACCCACCCCTTTATTATCTGTTGTTGATGATGACGACGACCTCGATGACCTGTTTGTTGTTGTTGACCTTNCCCCCTCTTTTTAGAATCCCTCCTCTCCTCAATGATTTCCACCCCTCCTCCTCCCATCATTTTTCATCACCCTCACAAATCGGCCCATCCATTTAGAACCCACCATCCCACCCACCTTTATTATCTGTTGTTGATGATGACGACGACCTCGATGACCTGTTTGTTGTTGTTGACCTTTGATGATGATGTTCTTCTTCTTCTTCTTCTTGTTAAACCTCTTCTTTTACTTCTTTCTTCTTTATTTATTGTACAACTAAAACCACCCACACACTCACCACCCATCACAATCTTTGAGTCTTTTATTTATCTTCTGTTTTACCTTCTTCTTCTTCTTATCATGAATCTATACATATTCTGAACGAACACAATTCTCTTTCTCTTTCTTTCATCTGTCTTCTTCTTCTTCTTCTTCTTCTTCTTCTTGTACTTGTATTTACCTCTTCTTCTTCTATTTATAAAAATGCAAATTTTTAATCACTGTTTGGCCTATCTTTCTTTCTGCTGCATTTGTTGCTCAATCCGTTTAGAAAAATAGAAATACAAGGCTATAATCTGCATTAAAAAGTGGAAGTCAGATTTTCGGCCAAATTAGCAAAACCTGTAAGGGGTAAGCCTTATAGAATTTGAAAAATTCAGCAAAAAAAATTTATTGTAGATTCTGAAAGAACTCGATGAGAAAACTCCAAAAATGGAAGCATTTTTGCTCTTGAACCACGGAAACATAGTTAATTTAAATTTTAAAATTAAATGAAATTTTAATTAATAGTTTCCGATGTTGGCCGCTACGAAATGTGAGGCGCCACCAGCGCAGATGATTTTTGGCAATTTTTGGCAATTTTGTACGATTTTCAGGCTGCGCTGGTGGCGCCTCACATTTTGCAACGGCCAACATCGGAACTATTAATTATTTTTAATTAACTTTAAAATTAAAATTGACCATGTTTCCTTGGTTTTTGAGCAAAAACTCTTTCAGATTCGGAGTCCTCTCGCTGAGTACTTTAAGAATCTGCAACAAAAAGAGTGATCACAAGTGTCCATAGGCCTTCGCCCCATTTTTGGTCA